GAGAAGGGAAAAAAAAAAAAAGAAGAAAAAACAAAAAAAAAAGGATCGGAGATTGAGGAGAATCCACGGCTGAGGTGGGTTTGGGATTTTTGGGATTGGGAATTTGGAGTTTGGGGTTTGGGATTTTTGGGATTTGGGACCCGGAGGGGCTCGGGATGGATCCAGGGAGGTCTGGGATGGATCCAAAGGTTCCTGATGGACCTGGAGAGGTTCAGGATGGATCCAGGGAAGCTCAGGATGGATCCAGAGGAGTTTGGGATGGATCCAGAGGCTCCTGATGGATCTGGAGAAGCTCAGGATGGATCCAGGGATGGATCCAGAGGCTTCTGATGGATCCAAGGAGACTCGGGATGGATTTGGAGAGATCTGGGATGGATCTTGGGATGGATCCAGAGGCTCCTGCTGGATCTGGAGAAGCTCAGGATGGATCCAGAGGAGTTTGGGATGGATCTGGAGAGGTCTAGGATGGATCCAGAGGCTCCTGATAGATCTGGAGAAGCTCAGGATGGATCCAGAGGTGTTTGGGATGGATCCAGAGGGTCCTGATGGATCCGGAGAGGTTCAAGATGGATCCAGGGAAGTTTGGGATGGATCCAGGGAAGGTCAGGATGGATCCAGAGGGGCTCAGGATGGATCCAGGGATGGATCCAGAGGGTCCTGATGGATCCAGGGAAGTCTGGGATGGATCTAAAGGGGTTTGGGATGGATCTGGAGAGGTCTGGAATGGATCCTGGGAAGTTTGGGATGGATCCAGAGGCTCCTGGTGGATCCAGGGAAGGCCAGGATGGATCCAGGGATGTTTGGGATGGATCTAAAGGGGTTTGGGATGGATCTGGAGAGGTCTGGGATGGATCCAGGGAATTTGGGGATGGCTCAGGAGGGATCCAGGGAAGCTCCAGAAGCTGGGGCAGCATCCCAGGATTTCCCTCCCTGCCCCAGCCACTTCTCCTGGAATTATTGGGAATTCTCCTGGAATTATTCTCCTGGAATTACTGGGAATTCTCCCCACCCAGGAGAGCCCCAGGAATCCTTGGGAATCCCTTGGAATTTTGGCTTTTGGCAGCAATTTGGGATTATTCAGGAGCCGTGGATTGGAGCTGAACCCCCTCAGGAATTAAATTCCCACCTTCCCAACTGGTTCCAGGGGTGGGAATTCCCAAATTCCCAAATTCCAGCCCCTGGAAGAGCCGGTTTTCCATGGGATGTTTTGCCAGGAGCTTCCTCTTCCTCCTCCTCCTCCCTTTCCCAGCCTCTGGAGCTCCTCATCTTCCCAGAAATCCAATTTATTGGGGCTGGGAACGGATTTTTGGGAATTCCTGCTGGATTTAGGAAGGGGAATTCACCCGAAAAAAAAGTGGAAAATTCAGGATTTATCCAAATTTTTGTGGATTTTTTTCCCCAGTTGTTTGGGAATTGGAGAGGAAAAGTTCACCTGGAGTCTCCCTCGTGTCCATTTTCCCAGGAAAATTCACCTAAAAAATTGGGATTTGGGCCTTTTTTCCCTGCCCAAGCCGGGATTTTCTGGGATAATGTGGAATTCTGGCCTGGATTTAGTGGGAAAAATCCCAAAATATCCACGGGGATCCCGTGGGGCTGAGCCCTGGGAAGCTCCAGGAACTCGTTTTTCCCGTTGATCCCGAAATTCTTTGAACGCTCCCAGAATTCTCTTCCTGGGAAAAGCCTCCGGAGTGGGGTGGGAGGGATTTTTCCGAGGGATTTTTTGGGATCCTCGTCTTTTTCTGGGAGATTTTTCCGCTCCTTCCTGAGGAAAATCCGTGGATTTTTTGGGATTTCCGCCTCCCACCCCTGTGGATTTTGGGATTTTGGGAACCGTGGGAATCTCGGGATCTCCCCCACGGCCGGAATTCCCTGCTTGGAAGCGAATTTAACAATTTTTGTGGATTTTTTGGGAAGGCTAATCCCCAAAATTCCTCCTTCCCAGGGGTCAGCACTTCCATAAAACCTCCATTTTCCCAGATTTCTTTGGATTTTCAGCCAGCCAAATTCCAGCTTTTTTCTGGTTTCCATGGCAGGAAAACAATCCGGGATCATTCCAGGGCAGTTGGTGCTGACGAATCCAAGGATTTTTCCCGATTTTTGTAAAATTCACCACCCAAATTCGGGGAAAAAGGAGACATTTTAAGGAAAACTCCCTAAAAAAAATCGGGATCACGGCACCAGGTGCTTCCCATTCCTGTTTCAGCCCCTGGAGCCGGGGCCAGGTTGTTTTTTCCAGGGATTTTTTGGGAATTTCCTCCTTGGAGAGGAGCTGGGTGTGGCCATGCTGGGAATTGGGGGTGGGTGGGGGGTTCCTGGCGTGATCCCGATGTTTTCCCTTTGTTTGGGAGGATCCCAGGGAAAATCCTGGGATTGGGGTCAGGATCCTGATGGAAAAATGCAGAGAATGAGGCTGGGATCCTGCTGGAAAATCCCTGGGATTGGGGTCGGGATCCTGCTGGAAAATCCCTGGGATTGGGGTCGGGATCCCGCTGGAAAATTCCCAGGATTGGGATTGCAGGGAAAATCCTGGGATTGGGCCAGGATCCTGATGGAAAATCCCTGGGATTGGGGTTGGGATCTTGATGGAAAACCCCAAAGATTTGGGTCTGGATCATGAGTAGATTCCAATGGAAAATCCCAGGGATTGGGGGCTGGGATCCTGATGGAAAAATGCAGAGAATGGGTCAGGATCCTGCTGGAAAACCCCTGGGATTGGGGTCGGGATCCATTGGAAAACCCCTGGGATTGGGGTCGGGATCCATTGGAAAATCTCCGGGATTGGGGTCAGGATCCTGAGTGGATTCCAATGGAAAATTCCTGGGATTGTGGTCGGGAACCCGCTGGATGGCAGTGCCAGCCGTGCAGGGTCTGCACCTGCTGTCCCCATGTCCCACTGTCCCCAAGTCCCACTGTCCCTGTGTCCCACTGTCCCCATTGTCCCCATGTCCCCACGTCCCACTGTCCCCATGTCCATTGTCCCCGTGTCTGTCCCCAGGTCCCCATGGCAGGCTGACAGTGCCGGTAGTGCCACATCCCACTGACCGCGTGTCCGTTGTCCCCGTGTCCCACTGTCCCCATGTCACAGTGACCGCATGTCTGTTGTCCCAATGTCCTGTTGTCCCCTTGTCCCACTGTCCTCATGTCCCACTGTCCCCGTGTCCCCATGTCCCACTGACCACATGTCCATTGTCCCCGTGTCTGTCCCCAGGTCCCCATGGTGGGCCAGAAGTGCGGTGGCAGTGCCAGTGGTGCCACATCCGACTGACCCCATGTCCCAGTGTCCCTATGTCCCATTGTCCATGTCCCACTGACCACGTATCCATTGTCCCCGTGTCTGTCCCCAGGTCCCCATGGCAGGCCGGAAGCGCACTGCCGGTGCCGGTAGTGCCACATCCGACTGACCGCGTGTCTCATTGTCCCCGTGTCCCTTTGTCCTCATGTCCTGTTGTCTCACTGTCCCTATGTCCCATTGTCCATGTCCCACTGACCTCGTGTCCACTGTCCCCATGTCCCACTGACCACATGTCCGTTGTCCCCGTGTCTGTCCCCAGGTCCCCATGGCGGGCCAACGGTGCCAGTAGTGCCACATCCGACTGACCGCGTGTCCCCATGTCCCACTGTCCCCATGTCCCACTGACCGCGTGTCCTGCTGTCCCCGTGTCTGTCCCCAGGTCCCCATGGCGGGCCGGAAGCGCAGTGCCGGTGCCGGTAGTGCCACATCCGACTGACCGTGTGTCCCCATGTCCCACTGACCGTGTGTCCTGCTGTCCCCATGTCTGTCCCCAGGTCCCCACGGCGGGCCAACGGTGCCGGTAGTGCCACATCCGACTGACCGCGTGTCCGTTGTCCCCGTGTCTGTCCCCAGGTCCCACACTGACCGTGTCCCACTGACTGTGTGTCCATTGTCCCCATGTCCCATTGTCTGTGTCCCACTGTCCCCATGTCCCATTGTCCATGTCCCCGTGTCCCCATGTCCCACTGACCGTGTGTCCCGTTGTCCCCGTGTCTGTGCCCAGGTCCCCATGGCGGGCTGACAGTGCCGGTAGTGCCACATCCGACTGACCGCGTGTCCGTTGTCCCCATGTCTGTCCCCAGGTCCCCATGGCGGGCTGCCGGTGCCGGTAGTGCCACATCCCACTGACCGCGTGTCCGTTGTCCCCGTGTCCCCATGTCCCACTGACCGTGTGTCCGTTGTCCCCGTGTCTGTCCCCAGGTCCCCATGGCGGGCCGGAAGCGCGCTGCCGGTACCGCTCCCGGCCTCTCCTCGCCGTGGCCCGAGGAAGCGGGCGAGCGCGAGCAGGGCCTGTACTCCCTGCACCGCATGTTCGACATCGTGGGCGCGCAGCTGACGCACCGCGACGTCCGCGTGCTCTCCTTCCTCTTCGTCGACGTGCTGGACGAGGCCGAGCGCGGCCGCATCCGCTCGGGCCGCGACTTCCTGCTGGCCCTGGAGCGGCAGGGCCGCTGCGACGAGAGCAACCTGCGGCAGCTGCTGCAGCTCCTGCGCATCATCACCCGCCACGACCTGCTGCCCTACGTCAGCCTCAAGCGCCGGCGCCCCGGTGAGCCATACGGCGCGATACGTCGCGATAGGGGGTGACCCCGATACCCCCACGCACCACGATGGTGACCTCATGTATGGCGAAGGCGTGGGGGTATCGGGGTCACATCATCACCCGCCGTGGGGTGCTGTGATACAGCGTGATATATCGTGATATATCGTGATATATGGGGTCACTGTCGTGGTGCGTGGGGGTATCAGGGTCATGCCTCACCCGCCATGAGGTGCTGTGATATATCGTGATATATCGTGATAAAAGGGTTGATATCAGGGTATCGGGGTCACACCTCACCCACCATGAGGTGCTGACCTGCGTCAGCCTCGAGCGGCGGCGCCCCGGTGAGTTCCTGTCATGATATATTGCGATATTACGGTTAATATCATTCCTGTGCCATTCCCGGTGCCATCCCAGTGCCATCCCTGGTGCCATTCCCATGATATTCCAGTGCCATCCTGGTGCCATTCCTGTGCCATTCCCAGTGCCATCCCTGGTGCCATCCCAATGCCATTCCTGTGACAATACCCGCTGCCATTCCTGGTACCTTTCCAGTGCCATCACGGTGCCATCCCTGTGACATTTCCAGTGTCATCCCAGTGCCACTCCTGTGACATCCTGGTGCCATCCCTGGTGCCATCCCAATGCCACTCGTGTGACATCCCAGTGCCATTCCCAGTATCTTTCCAGTGCCATTCCCGGTACCTTTCCAGTGCCATCACAGTGCCATTTCTGTGCCATCCTGGTGCCATCCCTGGTGCCATTCCAGTGCCAACCCGGTGCCATTCCCATGCCATTCCCGGTACTTTTCCAGTGCCATCCCAATGCCATCACGGTACCATTCCCATGATATTCCAGTGCCATCCTGGTGCCATTCCAGTGCCATCCTGGTGCCATTCTTGTGCCAATTCCCTGTGCCATTCCCAGTGCCATTCCCAGTACCTTTCTGGTGCTATCCTGGTGCCATTCCTGTGCCAATTCCCGGTGCCATTCCTGGTACCTTTCCAGTGCCATTTCAGTGCCATCACGGTGCCATTCCCATGATATTCCAGTGCCATTCCTGTGCCATTCCCGGTGCCATTCCTGGTACCTTTCCAGTGCCATCTCAGTGCCATCACGGTGCCATTCCCATGATATTCCAGTGCCATTCCTGTGCCATTCCCGGTGCCATTCCTGGTACCTTTCCAGTGCCATTTCAGTGCCATCACGGTGCCATTCCCATGATATTCCAGTGCCATTCCTGTGCCATTCCCGGTGCCATTCCTGGTACCTTTCCAGTGCCATCACAGTGCCATTCCGGTGCCATCCCAGTGCCATTCCCATGATATTCCAGTGCCATTCCAGTGCCATTTCCCAGTGCCATTTGCAATTCCATCCCCGTGCCGCCCCGGTGCCACGCGGTGCCCGTTTGTGTTGGCAGTGTGCCCGGACCTGGTGGACAAGTACCTGGAGGAGACGTCCATCCGCTACGTCACCCCCCGCGCGCCCGGGGGCACCGCGCCCGGCCTGGGCCACCCCCACAAATCAGGTACCCGCCGCGGGGCCACCGGCACCGATGGCGTCACCGTCACCATTGTCACAAATGGGGACATTGTCACCATTGTCACAAATGGGGACATTGTCACCATCGTCACAAATGGGGACATTGTCACCATTGTCACCCCTGGGGTCACCGTCACCATCGTCACAAATGGGGACATTGTCACCATTGTCACAAATGGGGTCACCGTAACCATTGTCACCTCTGGGGTCACCATCACAAATGGGGTCACCGTCACCATTGTCACCCATGGGGTCACCATCACAAATGGGGTCACTGTCACCATTGTCACAAATGGCGTCACCGTCACCATTGTCAGAAATGGGGACATTGTCACCATCGTCACAAATGGGGTCGCCATTGTCACCCCTGGGGTCACTGTCACCAGTCACAAATGGGGACATTGTCACCATCGTCACAAATGGGGTCGCCATTGTCACCCCTGGGGTCACTGTCACCATTGTCACAAATGGGGACATTGT